ATGCCATCCGAGCAAGTGGACCACCATGGAGAGAGGTATCCAGTACCTGAGAGAACTAGCCGTGCGGGAGATGATTTATTGTGACCTGGACAATGCACAGTCACCCACAGATCCTGATGAGGTCCAGTGCACAAGGCCCATGTGGCGGAAGTTTGTACGGAGCGCCCCATCATCATATGCCAACTCACTGGCAGTGATGGAATGGAGAGGCGAAGAGGGACCAACGGTGGATGAGGTGGCTGCCCGACTTTGGCAATATGAAGAAAGTCTCTCTTCTCCCCTTGTCTCAGCTGTGGAGAAACTGTCCCGGAAGGTCCAGCAACTTGAAGAGAATATGTCCTCCCCACCTGTACGAGCCAGTACCTCAGCTGTTGGAAGCAGACACTTCTCCACTCAAGATAGAGAATACAGGGAGTACACACCACGAAACACCCTGTGGTTCTGCCTGCGTGACCACGGAGAGGACATGAGGAAGTGGGATGGACAACCTACTTCAGTCCTACGGGCACAGGTACAGGAAATGCAAGGAAGAACAACCACAAAAGGGGATCCCTCCAGGAAAAGTGCTGCCCCAGTTTCCAATGTGCAGTTCCCCAGACAGTATAGAAAGCTTGAGCCTACTTTTGATCCCCTTGAAGGAACGTCCAAATCATTTCTGCAAGAAGCGAGTAACGGATACTATGACCAGTATTAGAGGGGCCCTGCCTCCAGCCAGGTGGGGGAAAGGCACAACTGGGTTTATTGGACAGTGTGGATTCGATGGCCTGGCACATCAGAGCCACAGGAGTATAGAGCTTTAGTGGACACGGGTGCACAGTGTACCATAATACCATCAAGCTATAGCGGGACAGAACCCATTTGTATTTCTGGAGTGGCAGGGGGATCCCAAGAGAGTACTGTACTGGAAGCTGAAGTGAGCCTAACGGGGAATGAGTGGCAAAAGCATCCCATTGTGACTGGCCCAGACGCTCCATGCATCCTTGGTATAGATTACCTCAGGAGAGGGTATTTTAAGCACCCAAAAGGGTACCAGTGGGCTTTTGGCATAGCTGCCTTGGAGGTGGAAGAAGTTAAACAGTTGTCTACGTTGTCTGGTCTCTCAGAAGACCCTTCTGTTGTAGCGTTGTTGGAGGTCAAAGAACAACAGGTGCCAATTGCTACCACAACAGTTCATCGGCGGCGATATCGAACTAACCGAGATTCTCTGATCCCCATCCATGAGCTTATTTGTCAACTAGAGATTCAAGGAGTGATCAGCAAGACTTGCTGACTCTTTAACAGTCCCATATGGCTGGTGCGTAAATCTAATGGGGAGTGGAGGCTAACTGTGGACTATCATGGCCTTAATGAAGCCACGCCACCGATGAGTGCTGCCGTGCTGGACCTGTTAGAACTTCAATACGAACTGTCCAAGGCAGCCGAGTGGTACGCCACAATTGATATCACCAATGCATTCTTCTCAATCCCTCTGGCAGCAGAGTGCAGATCACAGTTTGCTTTCACTTGGAGAGGCATCCAGTACACCTGGAATCGATTGCCCCAGGGGTGGAAACACAGCCCCACCATTGGCCATGGACTGATCCAGACTGCACTGGAACAGGGTGAAGCTCCAGAACACCTGCAGTACATTGACGATATCGTCATATGGGGCAACACAGCAAAAGAAGTTTTTGAGAAAGGGAATAAAATAATTCAAATCCTTCTGAAAACTGGTTTTGCCATAAGACGAAGTAAGGTCAAGGGACCTGCACAGGAGATCCAGTTTTTAGGAGTAAAATGGCAAGATGGATGCTGTGAGATCCCAATGGACATGATCAATAAAATAGCAGCTATGTCTCCACCGACTAGTAAAAAGGAAGCACAAGCTTTCCTAGGCATTGTGGGTTTTTGGAGGATGCATATCCCAGATTATAGTCTGATTGTGAGCCCTCTGTATCAAGTAACCCAGAAGAAGAATGATTTTATATGGGGTCCTGAGCAACGACAAGCTTTTGAACAAATTAGCCAAGAAATAGTCCATGCAGTAGCTCTGGGGCCAGCCTGGACAGGACAAGATGTTAAAAACGTGCTCTACACCGCAGCCGGGGAGAACAGCCCTACCTGGAGCCTCTGGCAGAAAGCCCCAGGGGAGACACGCGGTCGACCCATAGGGTTTTGGAGTCGGGCATACAGAGGATCCAAAGCCTGCTATACTCCAACAGAAAAGGAGATACTGGCAGCATATGAAGGGGTTCGAGTTGCTTCGGAAGTGGTTGGTACAGAAGCACAGCTCCTCTTGGCACCTTGGCTGCCGGTGCTGGGTTGGATGTTCAAAGAAAGGGTCCCTACCACACATCATGCAACAGATGCTACATGGAGTAAGTGGATTGCACTGATCATGCAGTGAACTCGAATGGGAAACCCCAGTCGCCCAGGAATTCTAGAGGTGATTATGGACTGGCCAGAAGGCAAGGATTTTGGAATGTCACCGGAGGAGGGGGTGATGTGTGCAGAAGAGGCTCCACGGTATAATGAACTACCAGAAAATGAGAAGAGATATGCCCTGTTCACTGATGGGTCCTGCCAGATTGTGGGAAAGCATAGAAAGTGGAAGGCTGCTGTGTGGAGTCCTACAAGACAAGTTGCAGAAGCCACTGAAGGACAAGGTGAATCAAGCCAGTTTGCAGAGGTGAAAGCAATTCAGCTGGCTTTGGACATTGCCGAGCGGGAAAAATGGCCGGTACTTTATCTCTACACCGACTCATGGATGGTGGCAAATGCCTTGTGGGAGTGGCTGCAGCAGTGGAAGCAGCACAATTGGCAGCCAGAGGCAAACCTGTCTGGGCTGCGGAATTGTGGCAAGATATTGCTGCCCGGGTAGAGAACCTGGTTGTGAAAGTACGTCATGTAGATGCTCATGTACCCAAGAGCCGGGCCTCTGAGGAACATCAGAATAACCAGCAAGTGGATCGGGCTGCTAAGATTGAAGTGGCTGAGGTGGATCTGGAGTGGCAATATAGGGGCAAATTATTCATAGCTCGATGGGCCCTTGACTCCTCAGGCCATCAAGGAAGAGACGCGACATATAGGTGGGCTCGGGACCGAGGGGTGGATTTGACCATGGACATTATTGCACAGGTCATCCATGAATGTGAGACATGCGCTGCAATGAAGCAAGCCAAGCGATTAAAGCCTCTTTGGTATGGAGGACGATGGCTGAAATACAAATATGGGGAGGAGGCCTGGCAGATTGATTATATTACACTTCCACAAACCCGTCAAGGCAAGTTCCATGTGCTCACAATGGTGGAAGCAACCACTGGATGGCTGGAAACATACCTTGTGCCCCATGCCACCGCCCGGAGCACCATCCTGGGCCTTGAAAATCAAGTTCTGTGGCGACATGGCACCCCAGAGAGAATTGAGTCGGACAACGGGACTCATTTCCGAAACAGTCTCATTGACACCTGGGCCAAAGAGCATGGTATTGAGTGGGTCTACCATATTCCCTATCATGCACCAGCCTCTGGGAAGATAGAACAGTACAATGGACTGTTAAAAACTGCACTGAGAGCAATGGTTGGTGGGACTTAAAAAAATTGGGATACATATTTAGCAAAGGCCACCTGGCTAGTTAACACCAGGGCATCTACCAACCGAGCTGGCCCTGCCCAGTCCAAACCCCCACGTACTGTGGAGGGAGATAGAGTCCCCATAATGCACGTGACAAATGTGCTAGGGAAGACGGTCTGGGTCAGTCCTGCCTCAGGCAAAGGCAAACCTGTCCGTGGGATTGCCTTTGCTCAAGGGCCCGGATGCACTTGGTGGGTGATGGGGAAGGATGGGGAAGTGCAGTGTGTACCACACGGGAACCTGATTTTGGGCGAGAATAGCCAACGAATGAAACTGTATGATGTTAATTGCTAAATGACCTGCCACTGTACATCTCATTTTGGTAACTGCTATAGGTCGTACTATAGTAAGAAATTTACCCAAACTAATGACAAATGGACTCTGATGAAAACCTAGTAAAGTGCAACAAAGGGATCAGAACTGACCTCAGCAGATGGCGCCCAGCAACTTCATTGAGATTGACATCTCCAATCAATGGACCATGGACACGAGTTGCACCGGATACATCAGTCACAAGCCCCGAGAAATACAGCATACGACAGTCCAGCCCCACGCACACCATCTTGCATGCCATGAGAGACTGTTCTAACAGATGGAGCGCAAAGTCATGGGTTAAATGAACTCAACGGACATTTTAGAGTGATGGCCCATAGACTAAGGAGATTATACCTGTACGGAGAGAGAGATATATATATACGTCAGGGGAAACTGATATTATTTGACTGGAAACTGTAGGATCTAGGAACGGCATGAAATAGTATGGAATAAGGGGTGAATGGGTTAAATGAACTCAACGGACATTTTAGTGTGATGGCCCATAGATTAAGGAGATTATACCTGTACGGAGAGAGATATATATATATATGTCAGGGGAAACTGATATTATTTAACTGGAAACTGTAGGATCTAGGAACGGCATGAAATAGTATGGAATAAGGGGTGAATGATGTCCTGGGTCTGGCAGGGATAGGGTTAATTCTCCCCAGGACCTAGCAGGGACACAGGTATGCCATCCCATATGAGCCATGTCCAGGGGTAGCGGGAGCTGCCAGCTGCTGGGGAAGGGGAGGAACAGGAATTTGGGGGAGGGGGAAGAGGAGGTCCCCCCTGCTCATAATCGTGGATGTATATTTCTCTGTCAGTGTTATTGTTGTTTCTTACTCCCTTTGCTGTTTTGTTAAATTGCCTTTGTCTCAACCCACAAGTTTTGCATTTTTCTTCCGATATTCCCCTCATGGCCGTGTTGGTGGTGGGGGCTCTGGTTTGCGCGAGTGGCTGCCGCGTGCTCCTTTGCTGCTGTCTGAGGCCAAACCACGACACAGAGAAAACAAAATTCAGACATACATCAAGGTAATAAGGTATCAAGGTTACTGACCAATCATTTTCAGACATCAAACCCACGAGAAGTTACCATGTAAAGATGTCAGTATTTCACTGTGGCACTGCTGGTATCCAGTCTGAAGTGAGAGTTACAAGAAATGCAGGACAAGCTTCACTTTTGAGCGTCCTGCCTCTTTGCAAAGCCTGGTCTTTCCCAGACTCATCCTAGCATTTGATGGAGAGACTTCTACACAAGAACTCTTCCATATCAAGCCAATACAGAAGATTAAGGTGGACAACCACACTCCAGACAAAGAGGACAGGACCATTTCTCAGAATTCACACACGAGTACCTACCGGAGCGAGTGATTTACTCATAAAACATATGACTCTGGATGCAAGGGAAAAGGGATGGTGTAAATTAAATTTCAGTTGCATTACTGGGGGTTGCTTAATGTTTTACCTATATAACATTCTTTTACCTACATAAGAGGCAAATAAACCACAAGGAACTACCCTCTAATCACTGACGGCCTACCACTGTTTTACCACCACTGCAATCTTAAATATGTTACTCAGGTGTGTTGCAGACACGCAACGTGGACAAAGACACTGCTACTTCCCAGAGGTGACGTGGCAGGAGAGTATTGTTCTCAACACTTGTCGCATTTCCCCAGGCCAGGGAAAGAGCTGCTTTTGGCTGTTTCTTTTCCCAAAGAGGAGCAGAAAAGTTGGCCTGTCCTTGTGGAATGCAAAACAGTAGAACGGATCGTTGGAAATGAAGTACCTTTGGAAAACAGGAGCAGCTTTACACTGAGCCAGATAAGGATTTTCAATGGTTTCAGCTTCTTCAAGCCATTTTCAGATACTCCCAGTCTCTCCCAAATCTTCCTCACCCATAAGAATCTTTACCACCCGGGGAACCTGGTCCTAAGCTCCAATAAACCCTGCAAACCATTAAAATGCACTCGCTGGCCTTTATTTCCATACTTAAAAAAGTGACACAGAGCAAGCTAAGGGCTCCTGCAGCGGCTGAAACTACACAAGAGGCTTTTCTGGCCTCATGCGCAGGAGAAGCAACGGAGAGAACAGCAACAGAGGAGCAACTGATAGGCACCAATCAACAAGTTCACCCTTCCCTGCAGCATCAAGGGCTACTGAAGGACAACAAGAGAGTCCAAATGCAGGTGCTGGTGTATATTGGAAGCGTGTGGGATCTGAGGCAGATGGCAGAAATGGTACAAGAATCACTGAGCCGTCACACAGAGCACCTGCTCCTGGGCCAGAAACCAGCTCTGTGGAAGGTGAAAGGCCCCCAGTTTCCTTCAGGTTAGGGAACTTCCCCGCAGCCAAAGGCCCACAGGTCACGTTGCAGGCCGTGACTGCTCTTCCAAGTCCTTCTTCATCTTTGCATATGTGGCAGGGCAGAACTGAGAATACAGCTGAGCCAGGAAAGCCTGGGATGGGACCTCTAGCTTTGTCTCGTGGCTCAGTTTGTTCCATACGTGCACCGCGTAGGTGTTCTTAAGGAGCTTGTGAAGCTCCGAGGAGCTGATGGATTGAAAGAATTTCTGCCGGATACCCCAATGAATAGGATAAACGGCTTCTGGGGAAAGAGCACGCACCCCTTTGCAGCTCATGTTGTTCTGAATATTGCTGATGGAACACCACTTCTTGAAGACACGTGTTAAGAGTGCTGGGCCCTGGTGCGCCCAGATCCAGCCATTGTAGTTATCCACAAAGTCCTGCATGCAAAGCTCCATGTACTCATGCTTGGGTGTAAAGGACAGAAAGGCCCCATTCAGGACATCCTGAGACTGGATGCCAAGGGCATTGGTGAGGTTCTTTAAGTTCTTAAGCACAATGAAGTCTGTGTCCAGGTAGATGCCACCAAATTTCCACATGATGACAATTCTGCAGGCGTCAGACAGGACAGGTAGGAAATAAGGCTCCCAGTGATGATAAGACTGCAGGTACCACTTTGCCAGAGGTGTCCCTGAGAAAAGCTCTGGCAAGTCCAGGGGCCGGATTTCCACGTTGGGCAAGCAGCTCAGCAACGAGAATGCCCACACGTTGGGTAAGGAGGCATTCCCATCTGCCAATCCTTTCATGAGCAACACAACCCTTGTCCCAGGGTGCGCTCTGGCTGCTGACTCCACCGAGCATGTGAAGAGGTAACTTGGGTTAGTTTGCTCCGAGGTTTCCACAAAGAACACATCCCCTGGGGGAGGAGGGGGCCCACCAGCAACGGCGTGGGGAGAAGGCGGCATGAACTGTTCACAGCTGCTTTGTGTAGACAAGCTGTAGAGCTGGCCCTCAGTGTCCTCCCAGGTTCTCCAGTAGAACATGACATAGGTAAAGGACACCAATGAAATGGTGAGGATAAAGAGAGCCCTGGGCCTGTGGCTCAGCACTGCCGCGGTCAGTTTTGGCAGGCAGCTGGACATCCTGGGCAGTCCTGCTCCCGTCAGAGCCTGCTCTCCTGAGACAATCATGGTGATCTGAAGGGGAGGAAAGAAGAAAAAGACACTGACAGGCAAGGCAGCAGACCACAAACCTTGCGACAGGGTAACGGCAGAGCAGAACTTTCCTTGCTCTGCCTCAGGGCAGCGGGCTTAAATTATGCATTTTGGTCACTTTTGAAGCAGTTTTCTGGGTTCTCTGTACTGTCACAGGGCCTTCAGGTCAACGCAGAACTGCGGGCGAAGCAGCGAGGATGAATGTGGGAATTCCCCTGCCTCTGTCTGCTCCATCTCCATCTCCAAATCCCCAGGCTCCATAACAGAGCTTCATGCCACACCAAAAGCTTTAATCTGTAACCAGACAGGGAAGAGAACACAGCTGGTACAACACCTTTTGTCATTCACCCCTGGCTACTAAACTCTAAACCCACATTGCCAGAAAATGACTTGTCAGAGCACTGCGAGGTGTCCGTACGCAACAGCACAGAGCCACCGCTCTCCACTAGGCACTGGGGCTTGCTGGAGAGAGCAGAGGCAGCCGACACACAAAGCACCAGCTCCGGATTCCCAGAACATTTTCTTCTCCTGCAGGACAATGCCAGCGTGTGCCGTGGGTGCTACAGGCAGCAAAAACACCCCACTCTGCTTTTTACGTATCTATTTCCCCCTCCCTCCACACCACAGCCTGTTGAATCCTGTCAATCGTTTTCAGCTTGGTAAGCTGTAAAAGAGAAAGCAGGGACAGGCTTGAGGGGACAGGGTTCTTACTTCCACATAACAAATACAGGATATCTGGCTCTCTACATTTCTCTGAAACCATAAGTCCCACTCACAGAAACTGAAATACTACTCACCTGTCCCTGCTTTCAAGACACCACAGCAGTCATTGCACGGCTGGACAAGATTTTCCAGAGGAGGTGTCTCTGAGAGTGCCTGTAACTCTATGGTCTGGCACTTCCCTTTCTGGGAAAAGACAAGGTTAAAGGTGGACTCTAAACACATGGCAATAACATGCAAATCAGGGAGGATGTGACACCACACATTCAGCTAAGACATTGGCTGAAAGAAGGTCCTGCAGGTAACAGGTCATACGGCTGTGCTGTGAAGAACACACCCAACCAGGAACCAATCAGGAAAACAAGGAAAAGCAAAATTAGAAGAAAGATGGAGCCTCAGCACATGGAGAAAACAAGTCAATCAAGGAGGATGTGACACCATATGTTCAGTAACACAGTGGCTGAAAGAAGGGTCATGCAGCGGCTGTGCTGTGAACAACCCATCTAATTAGAAATAAAAAACAACAAAAAACCCCAACAAAAAGACACAGACAAAAAAAGCAAAAGAAGAAGGAAAAGGAAACCCCATTATGGCTACACTTTAAGCTTTAGACTGTGGCAGGAAACTCGTTGCTGTTTTGTTTTCTTCTCCTTTGCTAAGCATTCCCAGTGCTCATGATGCTTGGGTGAGTGCCACAAGAACTGAGCTGAGAGTTTTTCTGCTAAGATGCAATCAGGCCGCTCAGCCCATGTACTTCTCTCCTCAAGTCCATCGCTGCATTGGCTCTGCCCAGGTTTGCTAGAAGCCACTGTTGGCTTCATCTCCCCTCACTTTAAAGCTCTGTGGCACAGGCACCTGTGTTCCCATCAGAGGCAGGGATGCCTGCAGTCACTTACCAGCTTGTGCAATCTGCATTAGGGTTGGACCCTGCATCATCCACTGACTAGATCCCCAGGGACAATAATATGATGTCGTGGGGGATGCTGCTCTGGTGCTGGGGGACCTGCCATTGCTCCTTCTGCTGATGCGGACACGTCTGCCCCTGTTTCTCCCCAACGTGTTCAATAGTCCACTGAAAGGAAGGTCATGCTTTACCTTCTCATACCAATGCACAAACAGGCAGCTGCCGAGACCCCCTGAGAGTGTGACACAGACTGGTGAGATATTCACAAGCCACAAGACTTTCTTCAACACAGCAACGTGCTAATGCACATTTTCTGAATAGACACGATTTGCAAAAAATACTGCATATCACTTTCACAACCTTGCTTGCTACGTTTAAAAGCCTAGCTAACCAGTGCAGTGCTAGAAGCACGCAAAGAAACCACAAAGCAAACGAAAAAACCCAGTCCAAACAAAAACTGTGAGCTGTACAGGGACACCTTACTGCATAAGGTAAAGGCTGACATTTAAATGTTAGCAACTTTCCCTTGTTCCAAGCACAAAAAGCACAGACATACATCAAGGTATGGGTTAAAAGCTGGCTAGAGGGCCAGGCCTAGAGTGTGGTGGTAAATGGAGTGAAGTCCAGTTGGCGGCCGGTCACGAGTGGTGTCCCCCAGGGCTCAGTACTGGGGCCGGTTCTCTTCAACATCTTTATCACTGATCTGGACGAGGGGATCGAGTGCACCCTCAGCAAATTTGCAGACGACACCAAATTGGGTGGGAGTGTTGATCTGCTGGAGGGTAGAAAGGCTTTGCAGAGGGATCTGGACAGGCTGGCTGGATGGGCTGAGACCAATGGAATGAGGTTCAATAAGGCCAAGTGCCGGGTCCTGCAGTCCGGTCGCAACAACCCCCTGCAGTGCTCCAGACTGGGGGCAGAGTGGCTGGAGAGCTGCCTACAGGTGACATTGCTCCTATTTATGGACGTGGCACTGCTCCTTCTGCTGATGTGGACACATCTGCCCCAGTTCTTCCACAATGTGTTCAGTACTCCAATTGAAAGGAAGGTAATGCTTTTCCTTCTCATACCAGTGCAGAAACAGGAAAATGCTGAGATCCCCTGAGAGTGTGACACAGACCGGTGAGGTACTCACAAGCCATAAGACTTTTCTTGAACACTTTACTCACACTGCATTTGTCTGTTTGTTTTCCCGAAGAAGACCAGAAAAGATGACATACAGTTGTAGAATGTAAAACAGTAGAAAAGACCATTTGAAATAAAGTAACTTGGAAAGGAATAAAAACTTTACACTGAGAGATTTAAAATGTTTTCTGTTTCTTTAAGCTATTTTCCAATATTCCATATATGGTTCATCAGCCATAAGAATCTTTACCACCCGGGGAACTTGGTCCTAAGCTCCAATAAACCCTGTAAACCATTAAAATGCACTTGCTGGCCTTTATTTCCATACTTATAAAAGTGACAGAGAGCAAGCCAAGGGCTCCTGCAGCGGCTGAAACTACACAAGAGGCTTTTCTGGCCTCATGCGCAGGAGAAGCAACGGAGAGAACAGCAACAGAGGAGCAACTGATAGGCACCAATCAACAAGTTCACCCTTCCCTGCAGCATCAAGGGCTACTGAAGGACAACAAGAGAGTCCAAATGCAGGTGCTGGTGTATATTGGAAGCGTGTGGGATCTGAGGCAGATGGCAGAAATGGTACAAGAATCACTGAGCCGTCACACAGAGCACCTGCTCCTGGGCCAGAAACCAGCTCTGTGGAAGGTGAAAGGCCCCCAGTTTCCTTCAGGTTAGGGAACTTCCCCGCAGCCAAAGGCCCACAGGTCACGTTGCAGGCCGTGACTGCTCTTCCGAGTCCTTCTTCATCTTTGCATATGTGGCAGGGCAGAACTGAGAATACAGCTGAGCCAGGAAAGCCTGGGATGGGACCTCTAGCTTTGTCTCGTGGCTCAGTTTGTTCCATACGTGCACCGCGTAGGTGTTCTTAAGGAGCTTGTGAAGCTCCGAGGAGCTGATGGATTGAAAGAATGTCTTCCAGTCCTCCCAGCGAATAGGATAAATGGCTTCTGGGGAAAGAGCACGCACCCCTTTGCACCTCATGTTGTTCTGAATATTGCTGATGGAACACCACTTCTTGAAGACACGTGTTAGGAGTTCTGGGCCCTGGTGCGCCCAGATCCAGCCGTTGTAGTTATCTACAAAGTCCTGCATGCAAAGCTCCATGTACTCATGCTTGGGTGTAAAGGACAGAAAGGCCCCATTCAGGACATCCTGAGACTGGATGCCAAGGGCATTGGTGAGGTTCTTTAAGTTCTTAAGCACAATGAAGTCTGTGTCCAGGTAGATGCCACCAAATTTCCACATGATGACAATTCTGCAGGCGTCAGACAGGACAGGTAGGAAATAAGGCTCCCAGTGATGATAAGACTGCAGGTACCACTTTGCCAGAGGTGTCCCTGAGAAAAGCTCTGGCAAGTCCAGGGGCCGGATTTCCACGTTGGGCAAGCAGCTCAGCAACGAGAATGCCCACACGTTGGGTAAGGAGGCATTCCCATCTGCCAATCCTTTCATGAGCAACACAACCCTTGTCCCAGGGTGCGCTCTGGCTGCTGACTCCACCGAGCATGTGAAGAGGTAACTTGGGTTAGTTTGCTCCGAGGTTTCCACAAAGAACACATCCCCTGGGGGAGCAGGGGGCCCACCAGCAACGGCGTGGGGAGAAGGCGGCATGAACTGTTCACAGCTGCTTTGTGTAGACAAGCTGTAGAGCTGGCCCTCAGTGTCCTCCCAGGTTCTCCAGTAGAACATGACATAGGTAAAGGACACCAATGAAATGGTGAGGATAAAGAGAGCCCTGGGCCTGTGGCTCAGCACTGCCGCGGTCAGTTTTGGCAGGCAGCTGGACATCCTGGGCAGTCCTGCTCCCGTCAGAGCCTGCTCTCCTGAGACAATCATGGTGATCTGAAGGGGAGGAAAGAAGAAAAAGACACTGACAGGCAAGGCAGCAGACCACAAACCTTGCGACAGGGTAACGGCAGAGCAGAACTTTCCTTGCTCTGCCTCAGGGCAGCGGGCTTAAATTATGCATTTTGGTCACTTTTGAAGCAGTTTTCTGGGTTCTCTGTACTGTCACAGGGCCTTCAGGTCAACGCAGAACTGCGGGCGAAGCAGCGAGGATGAATGTGGGAATTCCCCTGCCTCTGTCTGCTCCATCTCCATCTCCAAATCCCCAGGCTCCATAACAGAGCTTCATGCCACACCAAAAGCTTTAATCTGTAACCAGACAGGGAAGAGAACACAGCTGGTACAACACCTTTTGTCATTCACCCCTGGCTACTAAACTCTAAACCCACATTGCCAGAAAATGACTTGTCAGAGCACTGCGAGGTGTCCGTACGCAACAGCACAGAGCCACCGCTCTCCACTAGGCACTGGGGCTTGCTGGAGAGAGCAGAGGCAGCCGACACACAAAGCACCACCTCCGGATTCCCAGAACATTTTCTTCTCCTGCAGGACAATGCCAGCATGTGCCGTGGGTGCTACAGGCAGCAAAAGCGCGTCTCTAATCTAACAGTGAGCAAGCTTCAAGGTTACAAGCCTATTTTTAGTAAGGGGAGACACTTCTACTGCAATCAGAGTGATATATATTTAAAAATAAATTGCTGTGTTTGTAGCGGATAAGAGGATATTTTAGAGACTGCATTAGCCACTCAATGTATTTCAGAAAAGAAACACAGGAAACGTGGTTCTCTACCTTCCTCTGAAAGTGCCGTTGCACAGAAACTGCAAATACTACTCACCTGTCCCTGCTTTCAAGACACCACAGAAGTCACTGCTCAGCTGGACAAGGTTTTCAAGAGGCTCTGAGAGTGCCTGTAACTCTATGGTCTGGTTTTTCTGAAACGAAATGGTGAAAGATGGAGTCTCAACACATGGAGAAAACAAGTCGATCAAGGAGGATGTGACATCATATGTTCAGTAACACAGTGACTGAAAGGAGGGTCATGCAGCAGCTGTGCTGTGAAGAACCCATCTAATTAGAAATAAAACAGAAAGCAACAAAAAAACTCAACAAAAACGCACACACAAAAAAAGCAAAATAAGAAGGTAAAGGAAACCCCATTATGGCTACACTTTAAGCTTTAGACTGTGGCAGGAAACTAGTTGCTCTTTTGTTTTCTTCTCCTTAGCTAAGCATTCCCAGTGCTCATGATGCTTGGGTGAGTGCCACAAGAACTGAGCTGAGAGTTTCATAGAGCCACCTCCTCCTCCCGCCAAGACTTCAGTTCTGAACGCTCCTTTGAACACACACTTCTTTTGACCAATTAATTTCCTCATTCCTGTGGGAATGCTCCTTCTTACGCTAGATGCTTCGTCGAATGACTTTGCCAAATTCTGGTGTCCCTCATTTTATGAGGGAGCTCCCTCTTGTCCCTGTGGTCCACGCTGACCTCCCCTTACAGAAGACACGTTGAGGCCTTCATAAAATACCACCTTTATCCACACAGCCACTAAGTTTAGGGTTTAGTGCAGTATCTACTCAGTTGCCTGCACCAAACGTCAGGCCTATTGCTCTGTAGCCTCCACAAATCCTCCCAAGCACTGCGGCACCACGGATGGACTCATAAGACACCAACATTGGGGAAACTCTTTGGAAAGCATCTTAAGCTATTCCCAGGCCTTTGATCAATGGAGCTCTCCAGGCCTCAGGTCAGGCCCCATCTAGTCAGAGAATCACAGAAGGGCTGGGGTGGGAAGGCACCTCTGCAGAGTGTTTGACCAGCGGCCTTGCTCAAAGCAGAGTCACCCAGAGCAGGTTGCTCAGGACCACGTGCTCTTGGCTTTTGACATTACCTGAGGACAGAGACTCCACCGCCTCTCTGGGCAACCTGTTCCAGTGTTTCACCACCATTTCTTCATTCTAATTCCCCGTATTTCAATTTGTGCCCACTGTGTCTCATCCCATCACTGCATTCCACAGAGTCTGGAATCCCACAGTCTGGCTTGGCTTCTTCACCCCACCCATCTCCAGCCAGGTATTTACACGCTTTCACAAGACACCCCCCAAGCCTGCCCTTCTCCAAAGAAAATGATCAGAGCTCTCTCAGCCTCCGGTCCCTTTCTCATCTTCGCGGCCCTTTGCTGGACTTGCTCCAGCATGTCCATGTCTCGCTTTTACTGGGGATCCCAGAGCCAGCACTCCAGATGTGTCTCCCCAGTGCCAAGCAGTGAGGAAGGATTGCTTCCCTTGACCTTGCAGGCAGTGCTCTACGTAATGAACTCCAGCAGGCTCTTGGCCTCCTTTGCCACAAGGGCACACTGCTGGCTCCTGGTCAACTTCATATGCATAGGTGCAAGGAGTTATCTGTCACCATTTAAATTTGTCTCTGTTGAACTCCATAAGATTCTTGTTGTCTCATTTCTTCAGCTTGTTGAGGCCACTCTGAGAGACAGCTCACCCACCTTGTCTATCATCCACTCCTCCGAGTTTTGCATCATCTGCAGGCTTGTTGAAGTTGCACTCCATCACACTGACAGCAAGGTCATTAATAAAGATGTTAAACAGTATTGGCCCCAGCAAAGATCCTTGGAGTTTACCACTGGTTACTGCTCTCCACCTGGACGTGGTTTCACTCATCACAATTCTTCAAGTATTCCAGTACTTCAGTTGGGACCTGGACAGGCTGGAGAGGTGGGCCCAGGTGAACCTCATGAGGTTCAACAAAAGCTAGTGCAAGGTTCTTCACCTGGGCCAGAACAATCCTCCCTGTCAATACAGACTAGGGAATGAGGGATTAGAAAGCAGCCATGAGGAAAGGGACTTGGGGGTGCTCATGGATAAGAAGTTGGACATGAGCAGGCAGTGTGCACTTGCAGCCCAGAAGGCCAATCACATCCTGGGATGCATCAACAGAAGTGTTGCTAGCAGATCCAGAGAGGGGATTCTGCCACTTTGCTCTGCTCTGGTGAGACCTCACCTGGAGTATTGTGTGCAGGTCTGGAGCCCTCAATATAAGAAGGACATGGACCTGATGGAGAGGGTCCAGAGGAGGGCCACAAGGGTGATCAGGGGGATGGAGCACCTCTGCTACGAGGACAGGCTGAGGGAGCTGGGGTTGTTCAGCCTGGAGAAGAGGAGGCTCCAGGGAGACCTAATAGCAGCCTTCCAGTACCTGAGGGGGCCTACAGGAAGGCTGGGGAGTCTGTTTCCAAAGGCCTGTCGTGACAGGATGAGGGGCAATGGCTTTAAGTTGGAGAAGACCAGATTTAGATTGGAGATTAGGAGAAAGTTCTTTACTGTGAGGGTGGTGGAGCACTGGAACAGGTTGCCCAGGGAGGTAGTTGAGGCCCCTTCCCTGGAGATATTCAAGGTGAGGCTCGACGAGGCCCTGGGCAACCTGGTCTAGTTGGGGGTGTCCCTGCTGACTGCGGGGAGGTCGGACTAGATGACCTTTGGAGGTCCCTTCTGGCCTGGACCACTCTATGATTCTATGAAGTGCAGAAGTTTGGCTAGTTTGCTACCCACTTCACTATGTTTATGTAGTCATCTTTTCATCAGTATGTCTACAAGGCTGTTATGGAGAGTCTCAACAAGCTTTACCAAAGTTACAATAAACAATATCCAACAGTCTTCCCCTGTCCACTGAGCTGGTCATTTCATTATAGGAGGTTATCAGTTTAGCCAGGCTTGATCCACCCTTTGTAAATCCATGCCAGCTACTCCCAATTATCTTCTTGTCCTTAATATTTTTGCAGATGACTTCACAGATGATTTGCTCCATTGCCTTCCCAGGGTTCAAGGTGACAATGAGTGGCCTATAGTTCACTAGATGTTCCTTGCACTTCTTGAAGATATCAATACAGGAGTGACTTTTGCTTCATTCTACTTCCCTCAATCTCTATGACCTTTCAAGCATAACAAAGAGTGATCTCACAATGACATCACCCAGCTCCTGCAGCACTCATGGATGCACCCCATCAGGTCCCATCATCTGTCTGTTCATTCAGTCCTGACATATATTCCATGGACATGGTGATGTGCAAGAGACTGTGGCATGCATCACCCACAAGGAGGGCTTACAGTGCAGAGAAACATCCCTAAGTTCCTCTTACTTGTAGCCAGATGCAGACATTAATTTTGGTTTGTTTCAAACTGATCTCTGAACTTCCTTTCAATCTCTCATCTCCTACTGACCTTCTGTCTCTAACAGGCTTCCTGTTCATTCTGCAGTTGGAAAAAAAAAAAATAATGTTGGTAGCCTTAATGTCGTTTGGAAATTGTTTATCAAGCAATGTTTTCTATAGCCTCATGGTTTTTCATATTTAACTTGCCAGACCTTATGCACCTACCTAATTTCCCCCCTGAAAATAGATTTGACTTTGTGAAGAGTACTTTCTTACTTCTCGTTCGTCTTTCAACATACTGCAGAGCCATGGCAGCTACTATTTGGCTCCATCCTTATACACAAATGTAAAGGTCAAGATCTCAAATTGAGCTGTAAATGGCAAGGTGCAGCTGAAGTTACTTCCTCCAGAAGAGTTTTCTCTCCTGGCCTATGCCTCCTTATCGGAGTTCCAATCATGGTTGCAAAGAAGATACCAGAGAGATCACACACCAAGTGCACAAAGGGAATGGTCACAAATACTTGAGAAAGATGGCCCTGAAGTACATATGAAAGACCAAAGTGCTGGTGTTCACAAATGGCAGATCCAAACAGAGCCTGTGGAGAACTTTCTTTCTCCTTTTCTTTCCTGCTGCTGACAAACAAGCCCTAGGCAGACCTCAGCTCCCAACATACATAAGATTAAGGCAGGTAACTGCACTTTTCCCCAAGAAGGGCTCTTAACCTGCTTTGCACCACAGCCTTCCTGGACTACACATTTTGGGAGGCAGGAGAATCATAGTCATAGAACAGTTTGGGTTGGAAGGGACCTTTAAAGCTCATCTAGTCCAACCTCCTCTGCAATGAGCAGGGACATCTTCAACTCGATCAGGTTGCTTAGAGCCTCATCCAACCTGACCTTGAATGTTTCCAGGGATGAGGCACTCACAACCTCTCTGGGTCTTATTCCAGTGTTTCACCACCCTCATTGTAAAAAGTTTCTTTGTTATATCCAGTCTAAATCTACCCTCTTTTAGTTTAAAGCCATTACCCCTCCTGAGGAAGGAGGGGGGCCACCAGCAATGGCACAGGGAGGAGAAGGCACAGAGTGAGCATAGTGGATTTCAACAGGCAAGCTGGCCCCTACCCTTAGGGTCCTCCATGATTCTCCGACACAACATGATGGAGGCAAAGGACACAAACTTAAAGGCAAGGATAAACAGAGCCCTGAGCTTGTGGCTCATTGGCACCCTGGTCAGTTTTGGCAGGCAGTTGGGCATCATGACCATTCTTGCTCCCATCAAAGGGCTGCTCTCCCAAGAAAACTGTTATGATCTGAAGGGAAGGAAATAAGAAAAAAAAACACTGACAGGGAAGGCAACAGACCAGAAGCCTCAGGAGAGTACTATGGCAGAGCCACATGCTGAACTCTCCTTCATGCCAGCATGCTTAAATTACACCTTTATGTCATCTTTAAAAAAGCATCCTGGCTTCTCCATGCTGCCACAGTGCCCACAGGGCCCCATCAGAAGCCAGAGCCCATGTTCAGGTTGTGATGTTATGTGACAAAGCTCATCTGCACACCCACAAAAAGCTCAGAGAGACAATGGCAGGAGAGGAAGCCCAAATACGCTCTGCTGGGCTACTCCCAGGCCCACCACGGGGTCCATTAGCCCATCAAAGGTCCATCTGCCCAAGCCCAGAGAAGCACAGGAGCACAATGGCAGGTGGGATCCCAGATCAAGGACTCCCAAAGAACTAGCATCTTGTCTGGACCTCTCCCAGGGCAGTCCC